TATAGATAAGTCCACTAGTCCTTCAACTGAAGAAATGACTGTGATTCTGTGACCCAGAGAACTAATAATTGTAGATGATCTGTAATTCATTGTAATTCAATCAGAGTTGAAGTTGTGATGGTTGCGAATGATTTCTTTTAAAAGTTGTGGTCGGAAATTTTTCATCTTCTCCATTTTAACTGATGGAAAAAGACAAAACTAATGACCATATACGAGCATACACTGCATTTACTGTTTCCTTTGATTTTACCCGTACTTTAACTTAGATGTGTAATAATGAATAGTCCCTGAATTCCATTAGGGCAGTGTAGTATTTCAGTCTATATGCCCAAATGGAAGTTACTCAGCATATGTATACAGAGCCACCTACCTGCCCAGCCAGCTTGCAGTCTACTGAGAATGTGCAGGAGCCATATAAACATTTGTGTGTCCACACTGCATGTGCAATAAAATTGCAAACTGTGTGGAAATGCCAGAAATTACAGTAATTTAGCTGCGTTAGTGTCATTTAGGTACATAAAGTAAAATAGGATTCAACCCTTAGTTTTCTTAATCAGAAATGTCATAATTTTATAACAGTCATTCCATTAATTACTTCTTATTTGCAGTATTTGCTGCTACTGAGAGAATGGCTGGGGTTTCTTGGACATCTTTATTATGTTAATTAAAAGGTAGGAAGAAAAGAAGGGAAAACAGTGTCAACCTAGATTGAAGAAAACAATACAAGTTAAAATATCATTTGACATTTGGTAACAATTTCTGTTTTCTTTCTTTCTTCCTTTTCTCTAATAAATGATTATTGTTACAGTTCTCATTTCTGTCCTTTATTCTAGTCATCTGCTGTTTGGTAGCATTTTTTGTTGGCCTGATTTTTGTGCAACGTTCTGGAAATTATTTTGTCACAATGTTTGATGACTACTCTGCTACCCTCCCCTTGCTTATTGTGGTCATTTTGGAGAATGTTGCTGTTACTCGTATTTATGGAATAGACAAGTAAGTTCAGGAAACTGATTTGCTCATTCCTGTTATGGTTAATAAGTTGATATTACTAATTACAATAACTCTTGTTATTTTATTTTGTACATTATGAATATTGTACACTATGAACATCTTGCCAGGTGCCAGATAGACAGATTCAGAGACAGGTTCTGTGATCCAAAGTGCTTTGAAATAAACCATGCAGAATACAAAAACATGGAAACAAAGGGAAACACAGAGCTACAGGCTGTAGAAAGGCAAAGTTAGATTGTAAGGAGGAGGAATGACTTAAAGACATAGGTGAGGAATATAAATTTCAATTAGACAATAAGAAAAGGGATTAGCAAGTGAAGGACAGTAGTTACATTTTAACAGATTGTGATATTTTGTGTGACTTGAAAAAATAGTTTTCAGTGGCCGTATCTACACGAGATGCTGACTGCACAGTAACTGGCATTACTGCGCAGTAACATCGCTGAATGGCTTTTAGGTGATGCTGACTGTACAGTAGCTCATTACTGCTGCACAGTAGCTTAGCATCATGCCATGCTATGCTACTGCACAATAGTAATGAGCTACTGCGCAGTCAGCATCTCATGTAGATGTGGCCAGCGTGGCGAAGATTAAGACTGTCCAGGAGCCAGGAGTAATCAGGGCCACTACAAAGGCTTATGTTATGAGAAGGGATGAATGGATTTTGGAGATGGAAAGCAAGAAGTAAAAAAACATTGTCAGTATCAATGCAGAGAGAATGGAAACAGAGTTAGCTTGTTCTTGTTAGCTTTAAACTTGTCTTCTGGTAATTTCAGTGGGCACCCTCTAGTTCTATTATTCTGGAACTTGGTGAATAGCAGTTCCCTATTCATTTTGCCCAGACCTGTCACGATTTTATAGACCTCTGTTACATCCCCCCTCAGCCTTCTCTTTGCTAAACTGAAGAGCCCTAGACTTTTTCAGTTTTTCCTAGTATGAAAACTGCTCCATGCCCCTGATCATTATCATCAAGTGCTCACTGTGCATGTCTACATGTGCATATTAATGTGACACAAACTCCAGTGCATATTGCACTAATTTATTGTTCCTGGGCGCCATGTTTACACATGCACCTGGAACCACAGAATGTTAAGCTGGCTTGGAGCAGCCCTGGCTGGTGGCAGGCCCCGGGGGCCTGCCTGCCAGCCGGGATCGCTCCAACCTGGTTCAGCATGTTGCGGAGGGGG